CTGTCTTTTGACTGGAGCATTTAATCCATTTACATTTAAGCCTATTATTGACAGGTATTCTTTATTGCCATTTTCTCTGTTATGCCTATGTTTTTCTCCTTATTTCTTCTTAAAGCTGTCCCTTTACCATTTCTTGCAATACTGGTTTGGTGGTAATGAACTCTTTCCCCTTTCCCTCCTGTCTCTCAAGGTCTTCATTCCACCTTCAATTAAATGATAGCTTTGCTGGATAAAGTAGTCTTGGTTGCAGGTCCTTGAATTCATCACTGAATACTTAACGCCAATTCTTTGGGCTATGGGTTTTTGTTCAGAAATCAATGGACGGGCTGATGGCATTGTTCCCGTAGGTAAGTAACTCTCCGTTGCTGCCCTTGCAATTCTCTGTGTCATAAACTTTGCCATAGTAATTATCCTGTGTCTTGATGGGGGTCTTCTTGCATTTATCTTGAATGGGGCGTTGTACATCCTGAAACTGTGTAATATTTTTCATCACCCAGCTAGGGATATTTTCTACCATTATTTCTTCACACAGGCTCCTTATCCCTGGCTCCGTCTCTTCACTTTATGGTAACCTTATGTTATGTAAGTTGTTCTGCTTGATATTGTCCCAGAAGATTCGTCGACTTTATTTATTTTAACTTTCCTTTTGATGCTCTGCTTGGGTGCTTACTGTTTGTTCTCTCTTCCTCTAATTCACTGATTTGATCCTCTGCTTCATATAACCTGTTGTTGATTCCCTCTAGTGTATTGTTCAGTTCTGACTGGTTCTTTGTTATGGTTCCCTGTTACATTTAAAGCTCACTATCTCTTTCTCTAAGTTCTCAGTGACATCATCCATCCTTTTCCTTAGGTCCTTGAACAAAGCTCTAACTATTGTTTGAAACTCTTCATCGGGTATTTGGGTTGCTTTCATTTCATTCATTTTATTTAATTCTTTTTCTTGGGAGTTCTCTTGTTCTTTCATTTCAGGTATTTTCCTTGCCTCCCCATGTTGTCTCTGTTTCTTACTGAGATCTGCTACGACCCCTAAACCTACTAAGATGGCTTTTTGATAAAGTGTCTTGTGGGATTCAGTGGCACAGTCTTCCAGGTCCCTCGATCTCTGTGCTCCTGGAATGTGTCTCGTGCGTTAGGGGCATCTCCTATTGTATTTGAGGCTTCTGTGATGCTGGCCTTTTGTGGGTCGAGTTAATCCTTCGGGCTATGTTACTCTAAGGGGAAAGCTCGATCAACCTGTGTGAGATGCTGTGCAGGGGCTGCCCCCCAAGGCAGAGTTGTCCCCCGTAGAGTCTGAGGCGTGCCAGAGTATCCTTTCGGTGTGCCAGTTTTGAGACTAGTTGGGTTGAGCTCCGGTGTGATACGAAGTTCTAAACTGGTGGTGTTGGTTCTGGGTTTACTAGGGTGGGGTTCCGGTACAGGTCACGGTCAGGTGTTGTGTGTAACAGGCCTTGGGCTACCTGTCTGTAGCTACCACACTGTTGTCCCGTGTCTGCATCTCCTGGGCCAGGGTGTGCATCGGGTGGGCCAGTCTGTGTAAGAGAGTCGGCTTCCTCCAGCTTAGAGCTTGGGTCAGATCTGTAAAAGCACTGAGCCTCCTGAGGTCCGCATGTAATTGTTAGCTCCTTCCCCTCCCCTTCAGCTTGCCTGGTCCTCCTCCAGAGCCTTCCAAAGACAGACTGCAAGATGAGCCCAGGCCAGGGCATCTCCATAGCCACTTGCACAGGTGGAAAGCACGGTATGGCAGTGCCACTGGAGTCGAGGGGACAGGGCGGGCAGGGCTGTCCAAACTTTAGGTGTCTCTGGGCAACTCTGGAAGAAGAGTTGTGTTGGGCCACACACTGAATACACAAACACTAGTGAAAACTGATGAGCAAAGAAATGGTGTTAAGTAAATGTACGATTTTGTGTTGGGCCGCATCCATAGCCACGCTGGGATGAGTCCAGCCCATGAGCTGCGGGTTGGACACCCTTGGGAGAAGGTCTCCCACCTAGGGCTCATGCGGTTGGGCACTCACTGAGGGGAAAGCGTCCCCTGTTTCAAAGCCAAGCCCCTCAGTCTCTGCCAAGTGTCCACCTCTCATTTCCCAAGGGGGTTCATTGCAGTTTCACTTTGGGAGCAGCCAGCTGTACCCTCTAGGGGAATGCTCAGTCACCCTGGGCTCAGGGGGGATAGATCAGGAGGGTCCCCCATGGGGATGATACCAGGCTAACCCTTAGGAGAAGGCTCAGTGCTTTGTCCTGATCCAAAGCAGTACCCGCTGAGGGTCTCATCCTTTGAATGGTCCTGTACTGAACTACTCTACCTTCCCCCCATGGAACTTCCCCTGGCAGGCTTGTCCACGACTGGGCAGGGCCGATTCAGGTGGTCTCTCCTTATGGGTATTGTCTACAGTCCTTTAGAAAAGGGGAGGCACTTCTTCCCCTTCTCAGGGTGGCACTGGCTGAACTAGCAGTGGAGACTGCATTTGCCTCCTAACAATGTAGCCAGGCAGCCATGCAGCACTTGCCCGTCTTGCTCCCAGACAGAAGACACTGAGAGAAGAGACACACTGTGAAAATCCCAGCTCCACCCAGCTCCCCAGTCCCCCGTGTTCTGCACCAAACAGGATGGGGCTGAAAGTTCCGGCCCGGTGTGGCACTCCAACGGCTGCACACTGCCGGACAGGGCAGACAGTCCCAGCTCTGTGCAGCCTCCCTGTGCCGCCGCACCCAGCTGGACGGGGCCGAATGTCCGAGCTCTGCATGGCTCCCCCTGTGACGCGGAACCCCGCTGCGTGGGCCCCTGTGCCGCTACACTGGCACACGTGGCCAGCTGAATGACTCAGCACGTGAGGGCAGGGCCACTGGCTGTGTGCTCCAGGCGGGGTGGACTGCCCTTCTTTCCCGAGCCAACACAGTGTGGCCCTTGTCTGGGTCTCCTCCAAAGGCATCGCCACTAAAAAGTCGCCCTTAAAGTCACTTCTGGGTGTAGGCACCGGACGCCTCCACAGGACCCAAGGTGGCGACGTGGCCTGCCCGCTGTCAGAGGCGGGGCTGTGCACTCCCCAGGCTGGGGCTGAGGCAGTAGGAGGGGTCTTCCCTGGGAGGGTGCGGTCCGAGCCTTTCAGGGGACTGAATCCCCGCTGAGTGTGACCACCAGGTGCCTCGTGGGCTCCTGCTCCTGTCTCCCTTGCTCTGGGTTGGGGTTCCCTGCACCGGGTTGACCCCCGCCCCCCCCCACACACACACTTGCAGCGGAGTGAGTTTCGCAGCCAGGTTATCTCTCTGGCTTCTCGGCCGCCGCCGAGCCTGAGTGCACGGGCTACCGTTTTCCGAGTCACAGCCCTTCTCTGCACTCTCTCTGGGGCCTCTTCTGTCGTCCTTGGTGATACTATTTCAGATCAGCTGGCCTTCAGTTGGCCGTTCAGGTTGATGGCTCGTAATTCAGCTGTCTATTTAGATGGCGCCAGGAGCAGCTGGGTACAGCTTCCACCTGCTCTGTAGCCGCCCTGAAACCTACTCCTGTTTATACTTTTTATAAGGTTCAGTGGCACACTGCTTCTGTAAAACTAGTTGAAAATTGAGAATGTTTGCACATGAATGAAAAGCACAGTTGCCATACTGAAAGAACATGTGTGATAAACACATCGAATATTGCGTAAAATAGTTCAGAAAGAAAACAATAGTCAAGTTCTCTCAGAATTCAGTGAAAAAGAATAAAGAAGAAGTCCAAAGAGAAGCTATGTGCAAGACAGACAGTATGAGGATTAAAAATACAGATAACAAAAACTTAAAAAGGAAAATGATAAGCCATGCCTACCCATCACTAGGAAAACATCTGTATTTCAGGGTTGAAGATTTGATTGCGATGCAAACATTCATTGCAAAATACAGATGATGTATTATAGAATTGTACCCTTGAAACCTACAGATCTTTTTAACCAATGCCTCCCCAATAAATTTATTTAAGAAAGAGAAGAATAAAAAGAAAGAAAAATTTTAATCGCTTCAATAATTCCAAAGGGAAATTAATAAACTCTACAACGTGCAAAAGAAACTGCTGAGAAACAGATGAGAAAAATAAAGGAGGTCTAGAAATCATTTTTTGTTGAAATAAGTGATGAAGTACAAAAATAATATCCGTGATGTAGAAAATTTGGAACAACAAAAAAAAGACACAAAACTTTTAGGAAGCATGGTCAAATGTTTTCAGCAAAGTTAAGACACTAAATGGAATGAGAGAGCTAATTGTTCAAAAGTGAAACTTCGCAATCTCGTGATAACTTGGTACCAATCTCTAAGGTTGCAAAACGTATGCAAAAAACTTGAAAATGGGAGAGACCAAGACAATCCATGCTAGACATATTAACAGGGAATGGGCAAAGTATGCTTCTTTTGATGACACTGAAATTGAGCAAACAGGTTTCAATATTCATGTGTTGTGTATATATCCCAGATGCACACATGAAATGAAATTTCTAATGGAATAAAAATTGGATATATAACTTTCACCCATGCCATTTAATTCAGCACACCTGAATAATTTCATCTTCTTGTCAAAAGACGAAGGCTTTTCAAAAGGATCAAAAGCATCCCATATGATGGCCTTTACAAGAACCATGCCTAAGTTACGATGACACAACAGTGTTCGTTATATGTGCGTATCAGGAAAATGCAAACACTTAAAAATGGCAGTAATAATATGAGAAAATATACAGAATTTAAGAAGTCAATCATCAAACGGGTCTGCAGAGGGATTGTTTTATTTTGGTACCCGGTATAATCCACAAGGACGCCCAAAATTAAGACACAGAGCATTGCCATGGGAAATAATGATGAAATAGCCCTTGCAGTCGTTAGAGGATAGGGAAAGAGCAAGAAGAAAACCCCGGTAAAACAAGTGCAGCTGAGGCTTGTCCTTAGACGTCCCGTAGATTGTACTCTGTCCAGTCTGCCTCGTATGCGTGCTGTGAGGGAGTTGATGGGAGGTGGGTGGAATAAGTGTCACTTTTTGCCTTTAGGTTTCATCTCATTGGTCAGCCGTCGGCCAGATGCATCATCTCAGGTAACACTGTCACTTGGGAGACGGAGCCACCACTCTGTGAAAGTGAGTTAAGATGTCTTCCTATCTATCCCACCGGTTAATGCCAGCATTGCACCCCTAGAATCACCAAGAACCCGTCTCATCCCTCTTGGTAGTGATACTCTTCCAACATTTGAAAGAGAATAGCTGCATGCTGAAAAGTGCTCACAACGTTCCAAGCTTCTCGTTCCTTCTGGTTTTTCCTTATCGTGGTGTATAATTTATTTAAGACAGCCCCTACTTCCTCTTTTTGGGTTGAACATTTCCCAACTTGCAGAGCATTCTCTTCAGCAAAGTAAGCAAATACAAAGCTCGTGAAAGTAGCCCAGCTTCCCCTCTGCCATCTCGCAGCATCAGGTCACAGGGTGAAGCGGTGGCTCTCTCCCTTCCTCCTTGCGCTTTGAGCCCTGGCATGGCATGCGGTCGTCCTGTGAGTGGTTTGGAATAGGAGCTTCCTACCCTTTGGGTGGTAAGAGGAGTGAGCATTCACAAATTAGCACAGAATATAAAGAGGCTACATTCCCCGGGCTTTGGTGATAACGTGAAGAAATCAGCACACTCAAACCCAAATACTGGTGGGATAAATGGGGACAGCCTTGCGAGAAAGCCAGTACACGACAGGTATTGACCCTTCATTGTATTCATGCTTTCCATTAAGCAGTTTGACATTTTATCATTTATTCTTTAAAAACTAATTACCATGATTTTTGCAAGGACATTCCTACACAAATGTTTACCTCCATTATTGTTTGTGATAGTGGAAAGGTCAGAGCAATGTAAATGCTGATCATATTTCAATGTTTCAGAAATAAGGACTTCCAACAGGCGTGAGACGAACTTTGGGAAATTGGGAAGAAAGCACCAGTTCTGATTATATTTAGTTTTATTTTGTGCTTTAAAAATTTCTGCTTGTCTGTCTGTTTGTTTGTTTTTTAGTATTGCTTCATTTTAGAAAATACAAGATATTTATTGAGGCCTTCACCATTCACTTCCAAAATTCAGTCTCCCTCAGAGACTGTTTGCATTATAAACTTTTAAATTTCTTTGTGATAAGATTTTGAATCCTGGTATTATCCCATAATTTAAGTATTCCTATTGACGATTAACTATTTTAGTCACTTTTGATCAAAACAGAAAACAAAACTAAGGACATAAATCCTAAAAAAAATTATAATTACAAGAAAAAGTCCTAAAGCCAATGAAATCTAAAACTCTTTATTTCTATAGGAATCTCTTGCCTAGAGGTCTGTCTAGATCCAAAGAGAGAGAGAGAAAGAAAAAAAGAATCCGTATAGCAAGTGATGTCTAGCCTACGTATTTGATCACTATTATCACCCAAATTACACGGGGAGCCAATAAACTACATATCTGAAATTTCCACTGTTTTCTGAAGTGAAGGGACAAAAGAAAGTAAGCAAATAGAGGAGAGAAATGGAAATGAGGCAACTTTAAAATAAATTGCCCACACATTTCCTTAGATGCGTTTCCTTACGCTTCGGCTGTCCCACCTACTTAAGAAGCACGGTAGCTATCAGTTTAGGAGCCTGCTGTATAGATATTCTTTATATATGATTTATTTCTCTGTTTTCAAAGCACAGAACACATTGGTACGTTGTATATGCATATTATTTACAACTAAATAAACATACACACATTGGGAAAAATTGAAAGGATAAGACATGTGTTCTGCAAGAAAAAAAAAGTTTAAAATACACCAGAATGCATTACCCCAGAGACACAGGTCTTTGAAATGAAATTAGGAAGTACCTTCTTACACTGAACTATTATTACGAGAACAAAGATAGTGTAGAAAACACATGGGGTGTTGTGTGTGTGTGTGTGTATGTGTTTTAAAGATTACACGTTAAAGAGTCAACAGTGGTTCTTTCTAGGTAACGGACTTAAAGATAATTTTCAGTAATATTTTGTAAATTGTCTACAAGAAATGTCTATCTTCTTAAGCATTGTTTCAAAATAAAAATAAATGAATAAATAAATATGGTTCCACGTTACCGTATACCTTTGAAAAATGATGGAAATATGTCGTATGCTTTGGAACACTTTAAAATGCCTAGAAATAATTGATACTTAGATTAGGTTTAATTTGTCCACAAAATATCTGTGCTTTTGTATCTTTTTAGGAGTAGAATTTTGATACATTTTCCCCACTTCTCCAGTCTCCATTGTCCTGAGTCAGTGTGCTGGCAAAATATCTCTCTATCTCTAATATTCACATTTTCAGAATAATTAGCATAGTCCAGAACACATGTTCAGCTATTTTCTTTACTTCTGAATCTGTGATTATTGTGTCATGTATAATATTTTGTATTTGTGCTCTATCTCTTTTTTATTAGTTGTCCAGAGATTGTGTTTTTATTTCTTTGATAAAGATGCCCTACTGCGTGCTACATCGTACTACTGAGCCATTGAATGAAGCCAAATGCCTTCTATACAATGAGAACTGAGTTAATTACAGTGAAATAACATAAAACATTCTCCCTTAAAATGAGACACTTAGGATATTGGACACATTTACTGAAATAATGTTCATTGAGAAGGGCAGAAGCCCTCGTATTGTGATCACTGAAACTACTGTTGTGCAAAAACATGTCTGTACATTAGAAAAGATTCGACAAGAGCAGAAGTGTTGTGAATAGTCACATGTGGTAAAGTGGGTTTCTTAAAACACTGATTACCAGAATGTATAACTGTAACTTCTAAGAAATTGAGGTTTTCTGTAACTTGTCCCCTTTTAAGCTATCCATTGTAGACCACCCCCAGCCATCGCCCACGGAGATTACAATAACATCAACGGAGAGCACTTTCCCTACGGAACGGTGGTGACCTATCACTGCATTTCTGGAACGAGAAGGCCAAAGTTTGTCCTCGTGGGCGAGAAGTCAATACGCTGCACCAGCGAAGACAATCATTCCGGCACCTGGAGCGGCCCTCCGCCTCAGTGCCTCGTACCTAATACATGCTCGCCTCCAGACGTTGAAAACGGAATAAGGGAGTCCGAGAACAGAAGCTTCTTCCCCTTAAATGAAGTCGTGAGGTTCAGGTGTCAGCCTGGCTTTGTCCTGAAAGGGCCCTCCAGCGTGCGATGCCAGGCCCAGAACAGATGGGAGCCGGAGTTGCCCAGCTGCCTCCGCGGTGAGTCTGACTGAGGCTCCGAAGTGGCCCGCAGGGGACCCGAGCCGCGGGAGGAACGGGGGAGTGGTGCCTGTTCTGGCGGGAAGGTGCGTGGTGAGCAGCGTGAGTCATGTTGCTTAGCATGGAGCCTGAAACAAAGATGGGATATGTGTGTGTGTGCATTCGGTGCTTATGCCTTTATCTTGAGAAGCAAGACCATAATTAATCAAGAAAGGAGACATGGAGGACTCTCATACTGAATAAGTCTCAGGACAAAGCACCAGCTCTCAGTTACATTGAAAAATGATGTAAACGTTCTGGTCAACTGTGTAATGAGTACTTTATATGCACTGTCTCATTGACTCTTTATAACCCGCCTTTGAAATAGTATTACTCATATATCTATATGACAGTGAAGTTAGCTTGGTCTTTCAGAGGTTAAATTAATCATCCATATCAGGTGCTGCATACCCAGGAAAAGAATGCATGTGTGTCAGACCCTAGAGCCTGGATGCTGTGGTTCTTTCCATGATTTTATCAGCATCTACCACAGAAAGAAAGAAACTGCTTATGAAGACCAATATCCTAGCTTCAGAATAGGTACAAGGACCTTAGGGTTTGTCAATTCTGTTCTTCATCCCACATTTTATCGTTAGGATTCTGAGGTTAAAAGTAAAAGTAACTTCCTAAAAGACAAATAGATTTTTCATTCATCTTTAATTTGATAGAAATTAGGTTGACATTCAAATGAGCTCTGATGACCAAAGCTGGCATCAAAAGGGCTGATTACGGAGGCAGCCAAACCTGGACTGAAATACTCTAAGCAATATGCCCTTTCATTACATGGACCAGCATGTTGAGGGCATTTTGTTCTTGATGGCTTGTTTTGTCGTCTTATGCCATGATAGCTGGCTTAGAAGTGGCTTGGTCAATAATTGTGGCTGATACACAGGGATAGAGAAGGAACTTACAGTTCTTCCACCAACTCATATCAGCTTGTGCAATCACTGAGAGCAGCGAGGAGGACAAACAGACCAAGATATAAATATGAATTATTACTACACTTTGATCATAAGAGTGCAGTGACAGAGATGAAGGGAAAATATGTAAAATAGATTTACACCCAAGCAATCTTCTCATTATCAAAAGAAGAAGATGTAAATGAGATTCCCTTTTTAGCAAATATGTGCATGGGGGAGCCCATAAACACAAATAACTTCCTGCTAAATGGCCAGCGCCATAGAAGGGGCCCTGTGCCTGGTAGACTTATGGATACATATTAAACCTTGTGCAGGGAAAGAGTAGTTTCTAATTCTCTAACTCTTACTTGCTTTGAGGACTTTGGCTACATCTTTCCCCTATACTTAACTTCCACATGAGTAAAATGCAGAGGTTGGGGTATCAGTTGTCCCCCATAATTTACAAGAACTTTGTACCTGTTCTTTCCCCAGTGTGCCAGCCGCCTCCAGCAATCCTGCATGGTAAGCGCACCCTAAGCGACAAGGCCAACTTTTCCCCCGGGCAGGAAGTGTTCTACAGCTGTGAGCCCGGCTACGACCTCAGAGGGGCTGCCTCTCTGCGCTGTACGCCCCAGGGGGACTGGAGCCCCGCAGCCCCCAGATGTGCAGGTACATACACTCTTGTCTTGTTTGATAGGTTTAGCTCGGGGCTTCTTCTCCACATACCTGTGTCATCGATCTCTGTTTTCCTTTTTCTCCAGTGAAATCATGTGCTGACTTCCGGGACCCACTCCCCAATGGCCGTGTGCTCTTTCCACTCAGTCTCGAGCTTGGGGCAAAAGTGTCCTTCGTTTGTGATGAGGGGTAAGTGTGACCCAGTTTAGAGACCAGGGGCTCAGTACTAAATGCTGATATGCTGACACCCTGGACAATGCAGATTTATCCAAGAAAGAGGCTGCTTAGTGGAGAAAAAATGGGAAAAAAATAAGAGTCTAATGCCTAAAACAAAGATTGAGAAGTATGGTAAGAAGCATGTGGAACCATGAACAGATATTTTAAAAGGAAAATAAGTAAATAAACTGAACAGTAGAACTGTAGCAACAGATCTTAACTATTAAGGGTGAATATTAAGTGTGTGGATAAATAGTAATTTGTGGCTAGGAAGAAATACATATTTTAGAAGGGTTGCTTTTAAAAGTTTGATATGTGAAAAGGTGTTATTTATGAGATAAATATCATGTAAGGATTGTTTTGCGAAATTTTTAAACTAATAATGGGCTTTGGAATAGAAATAAAAGACTAAGTAAAGTATTTGATAATCTAATTATATCATCTAATTGGTATTAGGTTGGTGGAAGGAGCATGGAGATGGGTGGTCATGTTTCAAGTAACATCATTAACTTTTTATGTGAATCTAAATGACCTCAGTATTATATTTCAACATCATTAAGACATAAAAAGCGTGCGCCACAAAGCAATTGTTCTCAATGTATTCTGACCAACCAGTAGCCATTGGTACCTGTTAAGTGCCAACGGGAATCACCAATTGAGGGCGCACTGAAGGAGGAGCCTTCATTTCCGCAGCCCATTTGAGACACAATACCGCTTTGGAATAAATAACATGGCTGTGGAAAAACTCAAGTATGATACAGCTTGGTTGTAGAATAACACAGCTGTGAGACAGAGCAATAGACTTACAGCTCAATTATGACACAGCACAGCTGTGGAACAACATGGCTGTGACATGGCCCTGGAGTGAGGTGGCCCTGGAGCGAGGTGGCCCTGGGGCTCTTCCTCAGACAGGCAAGCAAGACAGCCCCAGCCAGGGGAACACAGTCTTTAGTGAAAAGGAAAAATGTGCTCCCTGACGCAGAGGGGAGCTGACTTACATAGACAGAAGTCCCTGCCCCTAATTTGTCATAGGATTCTTATCCTGAAAAGGAAGACTCCAAAATTCTCACGGTTTGGTCAGAAAAAAAAAAAGCATTAGTCAGAATGGGCCACGCTAATTGGCCAGTGGAGATGCTAATGGGGATAGAGCTGTGCAGTTCCAAAAGGGCGGGGAAAGTCACAGGCCTGTTGGTTGAAATATGATTCCAGGGACTCATTTATAGGGATTGGCTCCTGGCGAGAACAGAGTGCAGGCAACAGTTCAGTGTGGGAGGCGGGCAGTTCAGTGCGGGCAGGCCTCCCTGAGGCATGGCCTGCGTGAGAGGCCCGTGTTTAGCAATGGCTGCTGGGCTCCGTTGTAAATTTGGGCCCCCTCGGCCATTAGGAGCCCTCTTCAACAGGTACATTTATTATTGGGGCCAACAATTCCAAGGGCTCCTTGACAGTCATGAAATAACACTCACTCAGTAAAGACCTGGAGACAAATCAGAAGACCAAGTGTCTGACAACACACCAAATGTTTTAGGATAATTGTGCTCTGAAGAGATCTCTCTTCTCACCTTCTCTTCTTTTTACTTGTTAATTTGACTCTACTCTTTAATAATCCAGATACGCCATAAGTATCATTAAGATAGAGTCCAAGTGTATTGGCAAAAAGAACAGTCTCTGATGTCTTTCCTCATGTTCTATGATTTGATAGCTTAAAGCAAGAGCTATTTTCCTCCTGATCCACTAAGAGAAGAGAATGCTACACTTTGCATTAGAGGACAAATTTCGTCCTAAAGATCAAAAGGGGGCTGTCAGAGAGAAGTCAGGGAGAGTTGACCTCCTGAAGATCTGGGACGAGATCAAGAAAATACCTGCCTATGTTTTTGTTCCTTCAGTACAGGCCTGTCACGTACTGAGCTTTGACAGTTACTGCTTTGTCCCTCACTGGAAGGTGCCAATTTTCAAAATGTTTTGATTTCCAAACCTCTGTCCAGGGAAACCAAATGAGCTGAGCTTTTTAACCTTGGGTTTTACTTAGGAACTATATTGTATTGTAGCAGAAAGGAAGAAGCTGAGATCTATCAATGAACAGAAAAGAGAAACGGTATGCTTACGCCAGAAACTACTGTTTTTGTTCCTTAGGTTTCATTTAAAGGGAAGTTCTTCTAGTTACTGTGTCTTGCGCGGAACGAAAAGCTTTTGGAGTAACAGGGCTCCTGTGTGTGAACGTGAGTAGAAGGAACATCTGTTCAGGGTTGCATTTTTCTCCTTTTTTAAAAAAATTTTCTTTCTGTGTTTTTGTCCCATGAAATTATCAAGTGTCCACTCCTCTGTTTATCATTTTTGATAGAAATATTTCTTTGTTGTGTTAGTTAAAAGGAATGTTTTTGGAGACAATGAACCTGAGCATCATGTGTCTTGGGTACCATCCAAAAAACATTTGGTAGCATACTATGTGCTGTACATAGGGAGAAGTGCTTTATAGGTGGAAATTTGTGCCCTGAAGCTTTGTCAAATTTTCCCTTTTTTCCTGTCAAAAGTGATTATTACACTTCAGCTGTTCTGTCATTTTCTAAATCACCCATTCATTTCTCTATGTATTTTTTAGCACCTACTATGTCCCAGTCTTCTAGGCTCCTGGAGTATGCTTATAAACAAGATAGATAGGTCCCTGCTCCCATGTTGTTTATAGTCTTGGACAGGAAGAAAGATTTTTAAAAATAACAAGTAAACAAGAAAACATAGATAAACATTTTCAAATAATACTAAGTGTTATTAAGGAAAAAACCAAGGTAATGCAGTAGAACAGTTATGTGAATGGGAATAAGGGATACCAGGGAAAGAATAAAGTTTCCATTTTAAGTAAGGTGATTAAGGAAGTCCTCACTGAGAAAATAACATTGAAGCATTGACAGCAATTAGTTGGCTACCAATGCGAATATATAGAGGAAGAACCTTCCATTCAGATGGAACGGAAAGTACAGAGGAAGTCCCAAGGCAGAAATATTCTTGGCATTTTCTCTGAAAAGCCTGTTCTAACGTTTTCTTGGAAGCTTGTATGGCTCTTGTAGTGTGAGCAAATACAACAATAGGCTGAGGTGATTAAAGAAAAGTAATCCATAAGAACTTGTTTTCACTCCGAGCAAGATGGAAAGCCATTAGAGTATTATAAGTAGAAAAGTAACAAGATCTAACTTATTTTAATGATATAACCCTGGTTACTCTAGAGAGAACTAAGTTGAAAAGGGTCTGTCTTAGATGGAGATTCCCCAGGAATAGTACCAGAGGGAACGTTCGTTATAATCTTCCATTGGAGGGTACAAGCCAAGAGCAGCAAAAGTGAAGGATAAAAAAAGGGGATGCAGGGAGGAAGAAACTGCAAATAAATAAAAGATACTATGTCACCAAAATGGCCTTAAGCTTCACAAGAAAAAAAGCTGGTTGTTTGGTCATATAGAACATCTAGGTGGAACCAGAACTCTTTATTAGAAAGAGAAAAAAACAGTTTATCTGTTGGATCTTTTCTGTCTCCTGTTTATCCCAAGAGTATTAAGCCCCTGGCGTCCACGTTGCATTAACTCATCCCTCTGTTCAGACTCTGGTGACCTCACATGACCGGCTGCATGGTACTCAATCTAAGCTTAGAAGCAGAAGGAGCCAAAATAGCCATGGATCCAGTCGTATTGGCTTGGATGTGGGAGCTGCAGTGACCTCCACGGCAGGGGAATAGCAGAGGCTGTTCAGGAGCCTGTCTTTCACCCTTGGGGAGACTGGGACAGCCGGTGCTGTTTGGGAGTGAGGTAATGGTGGTATCAGCCAGCACAGTTGGTTAGGAAAGCAGCTGAGTGGCCAAAAGTCAGGCATAGCCAAGAAAATCTGAGAGTACAAACTGGGAAGCTGCTGCAAAAATCTAGTCTGACACGCTGGCCCAGGAGAGCAGTGGGGGAGGTGATAAAGGAGTGGTCAAATTCTGCATACTTTCGGAAAGTAGAAATGGCAAGTTTTGCTGATGGGTCACACATAGAGATTAAAATAGAGACTAAATGAGGTCACCTAGGGAGTGAATGAGGCCAGAGAACAATAGAGGCAGGGTCTAATTTCTGTAAATCCAACAACAGAAACTCAGAAACACGAGAAGGAATGTGCAGAAGAGATGAAGAAGCAGTCGATGCATTAAGAGAAAAACCAGAAGAATGAGTATATCTTGGAAGCCAAGTGGAGAAATTCTTTAAAGATGAGACCAAGCACCTATTTCAAATTCTACAGATAGGTCAAATAAGATGAGGACAGAAAATTATCCTTGAGTTTAGTGACTTGGAGGTAATGAGTGACCTTGGTAAAAGCACTTTCAACAGAGTGTGTAGGGCATATGCTTGACTGGAATGAGTTCAAGGGAGAATGAAGGGGAGGAATAGCAGGTCATGGACAACATTTTAAAGGAGTCCTAATGTAAAGAATATAGAGAAATGGAACTATAGCTGCAGAGGGATCGGATTAAGGGAGTTATTTTTTGTTTGTTTGTTTGTTTGTTTGTTTTTACGGTGACAGAAATACAGTGTTTGAAATACAGAAACACTACCAATATATCCAGTTTGTCCACTTATTTCTTCACTACATCAGACAGAATATTGTTTCATCTTCTGATCATAACTATTGAAAATACGTTTTTTATAATAGAATCTTTCACGCAAGTACTTTGCTTTAAAATTATTTGTACTTTTTGTATTGATTTTTAAAATGAAACTTGGTAACTAGATCTTTCATATTTGGAAGTCACCTAGCAGGCAGTCTTAACTTTCCTAAAATATAGTTATAAAGCATGAAAAAAGAAAAAAAAATACTCTCATCAACCCAAAGATATCCCTAAAGTTGTTTACTAGAGTATAAACATAGCTTAAGCTGCTCCCCGCTGTGATTAGTTTATATCTGATTCTATCAACTACAGTATCCTCTTCCCAAACACAGATCAAATCAGAAGGGGAAAAGAGCTTCTCCAAATAGTTACACTGAAAAGAAGAAACGTGTGTTTCTTCAATAAGGAATAAAACTTGTAAAAACTAGTAAGTATCTCAAAAATCAAATTTCTGAGCCTTTTGGAGCATTCACAGAAATGCAGAGGATGTTTCATTTTATTGTGACATTACTGTGACCATTTTGTTTTTTAGAATAACAGCCTCAAGTCATCAAGAAAAGATTCAATCACTGATCAAGAAATAGTAAATGTGTAATATATTTTGAAGGATTTTTCTAGGATGAAGTTCCTTGATGTTAAAAGACCTTGTCTATCTTGTGCATAAAATAGTACTTGATATAAAGAAACTGCTCAAAAACCTGCTTGTTGAGTTAATGTATGATTTTCTTACTAAATCAATGTTTTTCTTGTTACTGTCGTTAAGAAGATTTTTATTTTAAATAAATAAGCTCTCAAGCATCCAGAAATCTTAACTCTCTGAAGACTTCAGGATGATGAAGTCCCTTTTGGACTTTTATAATAAACATTGATTTAGGTGTCATTTCATTTAGCTGCATCCCAGCAGAGAACTAACATATTTATTATGTCTATTCCCTCCCTGAGAGCATAATTGTTCTTTACTTGTCAGCACAGTCACAGCATCCAAAAACTATAGAATCAAGTCAGATAAAAATGGAAACATTTTAATGCAATTTATGGCTCTTGTCTTCATTCCAGAAATCTTCTGTACCAATCCTCCAGCTCTCCTTAACGGGAGACACACGGCAGCGTCTCTGAGAAACATTCCCTACGGAAAAGAAATATCTTATACATGTGACCCCCACTCAGGCAGAGGGATGACCTTCCATCTCATTGGGGAGAGCACCATCCGCTGCACAAGTGACGGTCGAGGGAACGGGATTTGGAGCGGCCCAGCCCCTCGCTGTGAACTTTCTGTTCCTCTTGGTCAGTACCCACCACCACATGCCCTAAATGGGTTCTGAACATCTGTACCAGCTCCTTCATATTTATATAAGATTATAGTGTTTACCTGTGAGTTTAATTTTGTCATAAGTGGAGGTGTCAATATTTCATTCCATAGCTAAAACAGTAGTGCCAAGCTATGTTTGAGTAGGGAAGATGCTAATTAATAACTCATCTTGCTGGTGAAGTGGTAAGGAGAGTAGGGTGAGAGGCATAAGGGGACAGGTAGGGGAGAAAGCAGTGAGCACTTCCTGTGTGACTCAGGAAGAAAACTATATTCACTGGAGAGGACAGGAAAACAAATGTCTATGAACCCTAACAAATATCACAATAACTACTAAATTCTCTTTTCAATTTCATGGGCATGCAAAGGATAAACCTGGCACTATGGATGTTATTTATTAGCTAGTCTTATGCTGAATCGGTTAAGTAACAAAAAGGACTCACTTTACCTTTGTATCTAAAGATGTCAACTCAAAGCAGACTCATTTGTCAGCTTACCTCTGGACCCCATTTTAATCTTTGTCCTTAAACTCGGGGAGTGAAAAGGAGCAAGGAAAGATCAGCTCAATAAAATACTCCGAAAAGGAAGAGACTTTCTAAGGACTGGAGCAGATTGCCTGGTACTTGAGGCCTGACTGTAGGCCTTCTTAAGACTGGGACCTGGAGCAGACTCGGCTGTGGCACCAGCCTTGGAATACCACATCCCCTTCAGGGGAGCCCTGAGAGAGAAGAGCAATGCAGTGAGAAAAGGCCACATATGATCAAAAGCACTTAACCTTTCCTTGAGCTCCCTCACCCTTCAACTGGGCTGTATATATCAGAATCTAGTGATATTCCTTTCCAAGCAAATGCGTAGACCCCAGGCAGGTTCACTGAATGGACAGACAGAAGCAGTCTCTGCCAAAGAAGAGATAGTTGAGTTCACAGTCTATTTCAAAATATGCAGCACACTATATACCTTCTCATAAAGAAGACATAGCTTCTTAGTTGGTGCTGCCTAAAGCTTAATCTGTTTTGTCCTTGTCCTTAAATGTCTGGTTTAGCAGGAGAAAGAGAAGAGTGGTCCATTAGTTTCCTATGGCTGCCAAAACAAAGTACTACCAACTAGGTGGCTTAAAGTAATATTTGTCCTCTCACAGATCTGGGAGCTGGAAGTCTGAAATCAAGGTATTGGCAGGGTCCCAGTCTCTCTTACAGCTCTAGGAGAGACTGCTTCTTTGCCTCTTCCAGCTTCTTAGTGATCCCGGATTATGAACACAACACTCCAGTCCCTGCCTCTGTCTTCACATGGCCTATTCCCCCCATGTCTCCGTGTCTCAAATCCCCTTTTCTTCTCTAAAGAAACCACTAGTCATTGAATTGAGGCCCACTCTGGTAATCGAGTATAATCTCACCACAAGATCATTACCTTAATTCTGTAACAAAAGACCCCTATTCCAAATGAGTTCCCATTTTGAGATCCTGGATGGATGTGTCTTTTGGAGGGACATCATTCAACCAACTACAAGTGATGACTGCTCTCTAGTGCCAGGTAGGCAGCTAATGATGAGCATCCTGAGAAACGGACAGGGAAGAATAAACGGGAAGAGATGGTAAAATATGTCTTAATACGCACTGGTACATTTACACCAATACATGAGGATATGAATGGCTAACTCGAGGTATAGGCACTCTGATAGGGGGCTTGATGTGTGAAACTGTGAAATAAGTGAAAAAAGTTCAGAAAGGTGAATGGCCGTTACGTGGCAAAAAAATTTTCATGAGTAGTTGTTGTTGGAAAACATCATCCTAAGGTAACTTCAAGTAGAAGAAAACCTTTGCAATTGTTATGTCTCTGTTTCTGTGATGCCGTAGGTCAACTTCATTGGACAGAAAGACAGGTAAAATGGAAGTCTCATTCCTCATTTTGGTATTCTTGTGGTTTTGGTCTTCAGGTCACTGTAAAGCTCCAGAACGATTTCTATTTGCCAAACCTACATCCCTAACTGATGGGTCTGAGTTTCCAGTTGGGTCATCTTTGAGCTACAAATGCTCCCCTGGGTATTCTGAGAATATATTCTCTATCACCTGCTTAGAAAATTTGGTCTGGTCAAGTGCCGAAGGTATCTGTACACGTGAGTAACCTCATCTTGGGAATTAATTTATGTATGCCAAAGCACCTGTGGGATCTGACTTGATTTGTTTTGATTTTGAAGGTGAGATATCTAAGTTTGCCCAAGGTACTGAAATGGAGTGTGGACTTGTAAGTCATCCCTTTACAATGTCTGGGTTTCTATACCTTGACAAGATGTTCATTTCATGGAAAACATTCACACAAAAGGAATTGGAGGGAAATTTTCCATTCCCTGGAGGTTACCTTTGATGGCTATAAACATGAAACAAATGAAAAGGCAACACAAAAGAAAATTGTGAGGGTTGCAGTGAACTCTGCTTCGCTAGCTAAGATGGAGGGGAATCGCAAATTACCAAGCCTTTGATTTAGGCTGGTAGCATGCGAAAACCATTCTTTAGTCATACATGGCTTGTATTGGGAAATACAAGGTAGTCGTTTTAAAAGTGTTGTTCTGCAGCTGCTTGATTCTGAAGTTATATGGTGAGTTTCCTCAAAGTGGCAGTTCTGTGGAAAGCTCAGAAATATATAGGCTGTTTAGTATGCTACACTCTAGTCTGAGTCTTAAAAACAAATGTAAATTGAAACCTATGCCTAGGTCAAAATTCTGTTTCTTTCTTATAGGAAAATCATGTGGAACTCCACCAAAACCCATCAATGGCATGGTGCATATAAAGACAGATACCCACTTTGGATCAACAGTTCATTATTCTTGTAATGAAGGGTGAGTTGGGAACGCTGTCCCCTACGCTTCTAGACTACTGCCGCCTGTACTTCAAAAAGTATGCGATAGGGCTTCTGGAGAGAGATAAAAAGTGTGATGAAAGGAATCTAAAGAAGCAGGAACAATCTCTATCTGTGTGATAAACTAGGGAAGGCACCATACTCCTGCCAAAGCTAGTACATGTGAAACCTGGTAAAGTATCCACTGGATGAAGAGGACCAGCCTGCGAAATCAGTAGAACGAAAACTGCTTGTTGAGCCCTGCGCACACCCTTAACTGAGATCAGCAAGTTCTATAGCTGAGTTGGAGGACCCAGAAGAAGGGATTGGAAGAGTAATTCTTACGTAACAGCAGTCCTGGAAAATGTAGGCATTAAAATGCATACAGAGAGGGGACCCTAATAGAGTTTTTGCTCCTCTTTCCTTGGGACAGTAACTGAACAGAAGCCATTGCCCCAATTTAGAGGAAGCAGAGAGAATGCACTTTTAGTTGCCACAATACACTTAGAGGGGGGAAAAAGGTATCTATGTCCACATATACTACATCTTTTTGCAAAAACTGCCCTTGGTGATCAGCCCCATCTTATCCTACTCAAGTCATTGTACCTATGGCCCAGAAATTTTAAACTTGGCTAAGTCAACATCCATTCCCTGCTCACTTTGTCTGAGTCTGGAGGTTTTAATACCTTTCCTTACAGTCTCTTCACCAACCCCTCTCACTGCCCATTGTGAAAAGCCTAGAGCCCTTTCTTTCATGAGCCAAGCAAAACATCAGGACATACAAGGGAAGCAAGACACAGCAATTGAAAACCAAAGAGAGCAATCTGAAAAATCACAGAAAATATTCCTCGACAAATCCATGTACTCCAATAAACAAGGGAATGAACTCCAAAATAAGATTTTAGAAATCTCTCCTATGTGTTTGCAGCCCGGAACCTATGAAACAATGAGGCATTTGTGAGGTTTAATTGTGTGATGCCAGTAAAGTTTATATATAAGCAAATACACAATGGTCTAAAAAGGCAACAATAATCAAGAGATTGAATTCTAAAGAAAAAGAAATCAAAGAGATCATATGAAAACTGGATTAAATTCTCCTGAATGAACCAAAGACAATGCTGGAAATTACACACGCACATATATACACTCCCACACACTTCGAGACATGAGAAAAAAATTAAAAAGCAAAAAGAGGTGAAGTATCAATTAGCACATAATGGAAGATACTCTCCCAGGTCAGAAAGAAAAAGGCTAGATTGATAAATGATAGGAGACCCTCACCCTCCATGGAGAAAATGTATGAAAATGTATGAAAGTAGATATTAAAAAATTTTATAACTATCCAGAGATAAAATAAACAGGAAAAAAATCACACTGTCACCAAATGTTTCTTCCACACACTAAATAGCAAAAATTGGTGTTCTGAGGGAAAATATTGTGCAATGAAATATCTGTACTCAGTCAAGGCACAGAAGTATAATCTGACATGACCAAGAACCCAAAACATATACCAATTGGATATAGTTCCTGAAAAACAAAGCAATTCTCACATTATATGTGTTTTAATTTCTTCTGTGTGGGTATAATACATAGTGTTAACTAGAGGGTATATATTACAATACAATAGCATTAGAAATTCATAAGCAAAGAATAAAATTCAGAGTTTTGGATTTTGGTCAAAGTGAAAATAAAAACAGCTATTGCATATTACCTATAAAAAAATAATAATGAGTGATAACTGAGTACAGTTGTGCCAAGCACTCTACCTAGAGCATTACATTAATTGATTTAATCTTTAAATTGACATTAGAAGTGAATATTATATATAAACCCCATTTTGCAGAAGAGAAAATTGAGGTAGAAGAATTAATGAATATTCCTAAAGACACATACCAGAGGAAGAAGTTAGAATTTGAGTATTGCTAGTCTGCATTAATAGCCTACAATGGTAAACACTATGTTATATAGGTTTGTTATTAATGCTTATGCAAACATTAGTTATGAAAATTTCTGATGCTGAAACTGTCCTTAGAGAAATATTTAATATATTTGTTGTTTGACAAGAAAAATTTCTAATAAAGGAACACAATATTTTGATTCTTTTATATTCTACTTTTTTATTCAGAAACATTTGTCTCCATCTTCCCACCACCACTTTCCCCTGCCCCCCTCCCCCACCTCCCTCCCTCAATCCTTCCCCACTTTGGCTTTCTCCATGGGTCCTTTATACATGTTCCTTGACTTGACCCTCCCCTTCTCTTTCCCCACCCCACCCGCCCTCCTTCCCTCTTAATTCGGTAGTTTCTTTGTTCTTTAAATGTTGCTGGTTATATTTTCCTTGCTTGTTTGTTTCGTTGGTTTCCAGTGATAGGTGAGATCAGATGGTATTTCTCTTTCGGCCTCTGGCTTATTTCACTTAGCATAATGCTCTCCAGTTCCATCCATTCTGTTCCAAAGGGTAGTAGCCTTTCTTTCTGCTGCATAGTATTCCATTGTGTAAATTTACCATAAGTGCCCATCGGTAAATGAGTGGATCAAAAATCTATGGTACTTAATTTTTAAAGCACTGAAAACATGAGCAATTACAGAAAGGTGGACTAAAGACTTATAAAGAAAATAAAATAATGAATTGGAAAAGTATAAACAGCAAAAATGATAAGTACATCTAAAAGCAGGTCTTTTAACAGTGGCCAATTAAAATAAACAGAAATTTGCCAATTGTAATTTCACAAGAAAACAAATCTAAAAATACTCAAGAATGAGAAAGATGTCACCATGGCTACTGAAGAGATTCAGTACTTTATAAAATATTACATCCTCTGCATCAGGAGTCCCCGACCTCTGGACAGGTACCAGTCCAGGCCTGTTAGGAACTGGGCCGCACAGCAGGAGGTGAGCTTGAATGTAATATGTTTGAATCTTCCCGAAACCATCCTCCACCCTCGTCCGTGGAAAAATTGTCTTCAATGAAACCAGTCCCTGGTTGGGGACCACTGCTCTAGATCATAATGAAACTGAAAATACCCATGAAGTGTGTCATTTTGTAGGAAAAATACAATTTTCAGGAAGTACTTAAAAATAGGTAGAACAGGCGATGAACTGACATACTTGTATGTTTGAGCCTGTGTTTTTAATCTTTTGCATATGCAGCTACAATTGGAATTGCTGGATCATAGTCTGTGTTTAAGTTTTGGGGGAATCACCAATCTGTTTTCTACCACAGTGGCATGACTTTACATTCCCACTAGCAATGTACAGGGGTTCCATTTTTCTCACGTCCTCACCAACACTTACATTTTCTGTTTTTTAAAAATTATTATATTGCTATCTTAGAAGATGTGAAGTGGGTTTGATTTGGATTTCTCCAGGGCCTAATAATGCTCAGTATTATTTCATGGGTTTATTGGCTATTTGTAAACGTGGGGAAACGTTTATTCAAGTGTTTTGCCTTTATTTTAATTGAGTTGTTTGTTTGTTTTGTATTATTGAGTTGCAGTAGTTTTACGTATTCTGTATATCAAACCCTACTTAGATAAATTATTTATAAGTATTTTCCCATATTCTGTGGTTGCTTTTCCAATCCCTTCCTGGTGTGTTTCTGTTGACGGAGCCACAGTCATGTAAAAACTGATGAGGCTGAGAAATCTGACAGGTCATGGTTGAGAAGGTTGTACGGCCAAGTGGGAATGTGTACTTTAGAGATGTGGAATTGGTGCTTGTGTCCGATTTAACCAGCTCTCCCTTTAAGGGGAACTGAACTGGTTGACATCTGGGTTGTACATATATTTTCGATAAAAGCCTAGAAAGGTTATAGCAAAATATTAACTATGGTGAATGATAGACTCACGAGTGGTATATTTTTGATCTTTGGACCACACACAACTTCAAAATATATCTACGATAAATACATATTAAATTTTATAATCCATTACATATACATAGTACATGTTAAAAATATAAAATTTTTATGTAAAATAAATATTTTACATAAATATTATTATGTAAAATAAAATATAATATGTACAAATACATATTTAAAATATTAAAAATTTATGTTTTAAGAAACAGAGGCCTGCTGCAGAATCATATGTGTAAGCTGCTTTTAATAATTGTCTCCATAGATTCCCTCTACTGCAAAATAGGCCAGACTACATAAACAAATCGGAAAAGATAGGAATGGCACTCTATACCAGCCCTCTAATATTTCCACGTGCTTCTCCACAGTGTGTATATTGATTATAGGGAAAGAAATCTCATGATTCCTCTTAGACAAAATTCAGCTTCATTGCTAACCAAATTTCTAATGCCCTTTGGAGCTAACACTTAGACCCCAATAAAAGAACTTCAAGGAGGTAAGAGTAAGGACAGGAAAATTTATTGCCAACGTAATTGTTACTGCAGCATATTTGTGTCTTACATTACCTTCCAAATATTCACTGTTGTTACAGCCAAACATAGGTTGGAACCTGCTTCACAATGTTGCTCCAATGCTCTAGCTTAGTCGTAGTCAGCAGGTTAAGAGCAACATTTATAAGATTCAAAGTGAGGGGACACCATGATCCTGTCCTCTTAAGGTAACTGTGAAAGGATGATAGTCGACAAGGAGAAGGAAACACCCATGTAGTGCAAGTATTGTTATCGTCTTTCCTTACTATAGTGGTTCTCAAATTGTTTGCAGAAATTTTGAAGGTTAAATATGTGTTGACACACATGAAAATATTTTACAACATAGCCATTAAAAAGAATTATTAGCCCTGACTGGTGTGACTCAGTTGGTTGGCATCGTCCCACAAAGTGAAAGGTCCCCAGTTTGATTCCCAGTCAGGGCACATGCCGAGGCTGTGGGCCAGTCTCCAGCTGGGAGCATGCAAGAGGCAACAGGTCAACGTTTCTGACACAGAAATGTCTTCCCTCTTCTTCTCCCTCCCTTTCCCTCTCCCTAAGAGTAAATACATAAAGTTCTTTTTTAAAAGTCAATAATAAGTGAAATTTAATCGCCACCTGAATATAAAAGTGACTCAATGTGTCTACAAAAATATTCACTGTCTTTGCTGTTCCCACAAGGTTCTCATCATCTTTATGTCCCTGTTTTGGGATGAGATGATATGTCAATTAGAATTCAATTGAGCCATAAAAGACAGAGAAGACACAAAATGACAGGAACTTCAACAAGAGAGCAGTTTATTTCTCTCTCAGGCTAAGAACTGTGGGCGGTCTAGGCCTCATACAGTGGCTCCACAATTCACAGAAGCCTGGGGTTTTTCCATTTGAGACTCTATCTCATTTTCTGGTCCAAGTGCAAGACAGGAAAATGGAAAAATGGAAGAAGAGGGACACTCTTCAGACACTCCACTTACATCCTTCTAGCAAGACAGTGGTCAGATGGCTACACTGGCTGTAAGGGAAGCTGAGAAATGAAGGTTTTACTGAAGGCGGGCATTGGCCAGGTAAAAAGAGAGCGTTCTGCTGCTAATCGGGAAGGGGAAGATGGATACTTGAGATAACAATAGTCTCTCCTACAAATGGTTGCTGCCCTGGTCATGTGTAATCAAGAGACACAGTTCATAGCTATTTCAGTAACTACCTCACTGTTCCATGGCATTGCATGAGACGCCTCAGCTTTCACTTAATCCAGTTTAGCTCTGCTGTACATTAGATCACTTGACTAGCTTTGTGGGTATCTTTGGTGACATTTCTTGCAGTAACATTATAGGGACATAATAAATAAAAGATAAATAATGGTGAAATATTCCAGAATTTGTGGCCTACTTTGAATGGTTTTATGGCTCAGTGGGTGAGTACCCCTGCTTGTCATGTTTAAGGTGTGAAGATGATTAACTGTTTCTTCTGGCTCTCATTCACTAAATCTGCAGGATAAAGCCACTACTCATTCCTTCCATCAACAAATATTTTTTGAGCACCCCAAGCTTAAACGTCTTTTGGCTAGGGCTGGAGATTGCACATATTTTCATAAGACATATTTTCTTCCTTCAAGAATCACATAACTGCCCTCACAAAGTACATGTGGATAACATAACTCTGTGAGATTCCTTAAATACAAGTATGGAAATGTTCTGCTGTGAATAACACGATTTTTGCACTGTGTTGTGAGGCACTAGTAATGGAGGTGGATTAAAGAGGTAGGAATTTAAGTTTGTTCTTAGCAATCAAGAACTAATTTGCAGATGGAGATGAGGTTTCTTCCTTGAGGTCTCCCATGTTTCAATATGTCCTGTAATTTGTAAAATCGTCCCGGTATTATTTTCCCATGGTGACTTAAGTGGGAAATATGTGTAGGGTATTCTCATTTGTCATTCTTTGTTTCTAGGTATCGACTCATTGGCTCCCCTTCTGCTGCTTGTCTCCTCTCGGGCAGTAAGGTCACTTGGGATAAGGACGTACCTGTTTGTGAGAGTGAGTTGAAATATTTTTCCCCTTAATTCCCTGCAATTGATACTGATTTGATCCTGTAGTTACAAAAAAGAAACCTAATCCTCCTTGCACAGAGTACTCTCTTAGATACTTGAAAATTGAAGTCAAGTGCTGCATGGTTCTCCTGTTTCTGTTTTTGTTTTTGTTTTTAATTTTAGGAGGTAATGTATCTGAAACTGTGGATTTGAACTCAGGTAAAATTGTCCTACTCACCTACTTTGAGAGTAAACTCTTTCCAGGGAAAAGGTCATTCTCCTAGTGAGAATGATGGGAGTGCATGTATCTTTTCAAGTTAGTGTTTTCAGTGTCTGTGGAAAAATACTCAGAAGAGGAATTGCTGGATTATACAGTGGTTCTATCTTTAATTTTTTGAGCAAGCTTTATACTGTGTTCTATAGCGGTTACACAAGTTTACAACCCCACCAACAGGGGCATAAGAGTCCCCTTTTATTCACATTCTCACCAGCACTTGTTATCACTTGTCTCCTTGATGACAGCCATTCTAACAGGTATGAGACCTCTCTTTGTGGTTTTAAATTGCATTTCCCAGAAGGTTAAGGATGTTGAGCATCTTTTCATGTGCCCTTAGGCCACTGGATGTCCTTTCTGGAGAAATATCTGTTTAGGACTTCTGCCCATTTTTTAATCAAAGTATTTTCTTGTTGTTGGGTTGCATAAATTCTTTATGTATGTTGGATATTACCTTACCCAATATAGAGTCTGCAAATTTTTTCTCTAGGTCGTCTTTTCTGTAGGTTGTCTTTTCACTTTGTTAATTGTTTCTTTTGCTATGCACAAGCATTTAAGTTTAATGAGGTCACACTTGTTGATTATTGCTTTGATGTTTGTGCTTGTGGTGTCATATCCAATAAGTCATTTCCAAGACCAATGTTGAAGAGTTCTTTTCCTACACTGTCTTCTAGGAGTCTTATAGTATCATTCTTATATTTAAGGCTTCAATCCATTCTGAGTTAATTTTCATGACTGGTGTATGATAGGAATTCAATTTTATTGTTCTGCATGTGTTTCTCCAGTTTGCCCGGCGCCATTTGTTGAAGACACTATTCTTTCCCCATCTGGTGCTCTCGGCTACCTTGTCAAATATTACTTGACCATATAAGCAGGAATTTAACTCTGGGCTCTCTCTTCTGTTCCACTGGTTTCTCTGTCCATTTGGTTTTGTGTCAGTACCATAGCATTTTTATTACTGTAGTTGTGTAGTATAGTTTGAAATCTGAAAGTGTGATACCTACAGCTTTATCCTTTTTCCTCAGAATTGCTTTGGCTAGTTAGGGTCTTTTGTGGTTCCATAAAATTTTATAGGATTTTTTTTCTATTTCTGTGAAGAATGCCATTGCTACCTTGATGGAGTTTATGTTGAATCTATTGATGGCTTTGGGTAGTATGGATATTTTAACATTACAGTAATTCTCCTGACCCATGAACATGGTATATCTTTAAAATTATTTGTGTCTTCTTTGATTTTTTTTTAGCAAAGTCTTATCATTTTCATTGTATACATCTTTCACTTTCTTGGTTAAATTTATTACAGAGTATTTAATTTTTTTGATGCTATAATAAATGGAATAGTTTTCTTTATGTCTTTCTCAGATGTTTCATCCTTAGTGTATAGAAATTCCACTGATTTCTGAATGTTGATGTTGTATTCTGCAATTTTACTGAAATGATTAATTAGTTATAAGAGTTATTTGGTTGAGTCTTTTGTATTTTCTATATACAGAAGCATCCTTTCACCTGCAAATAATGACAGTTTTACTTCTCACTTCCTAATTCGGATGGCTTTTATTTCTTTATCTTGCCCAATCACTCTAGCTAGGACTTCCAGTACTATATTGGAAAGGTGGTGTAAGAGCTGAAATTCTTACCTTCGTCCTGATCTTAGAGAGAAAAGTTTCCATTTTTCTCCAAAGTATATGATGTTAGCTGTGGTTTGTCATATACGGCCTATATTACATTTAGGAATGTTCCTTTTATAGCCAGTATGCTGAGGGTTTTTATTATGGAAGGATGTTGTATTTTGTCAAATGCTTTTCTGTATTTATTAAGATGATTATGTGATTTTTATATCTTTTTATTAACATGAGGTATTACATTTATTGATTTGCCTATGTTGGAAGATCCTTGCATCCCAGGGATAAATTCGACTTAGTCATGCTGTATAATTATTTTTATGTGTACTTGAATTTTGTTTGCAAATATTTTGCTGAGAATTTTTGCATCTATATTCACTGGGGTCTGTAGTTTTCTTATGCTGTCCTTAGCTGGCTTTGGTATCAGGGTACTATAATGCGGGCTTTATAAAATGAATTTGAACATATACCTTCCTTGTCAACATTTTGGAAAAGTTTGAGAAGGATTATTTAGTTCTTCTTTGAACGTTTGGTAGAGTTTATCAGTAGAGCCATCTGGTTCTGACGATTTTTTTTCTTGGGTGATTTTGATTACTGAACCAATTTATTTGCTTATTGTTAGTCTGTCAAGACTTTCTTATTTCTTCTTGATTAAGTCTTAGTAGGCTGTGTGTCTAGAAATGTATTCATATCTCCTAGGTTATCTCATTTGTTGGCAAATAATTATTCACTGTATTCTGTTACAGTTCTTTGTACTTCTAACACATCAGTTGTAATGTCCCCATTTTCATTCCTCATTTTTTTATTTGAGTCGTTTTTTTCCCTTAGTCTAACTGAAGCTTATGGTTTTTGTTTATATTTTTGAAGGACTAGGTTTTTGTTTTGTATGATCCTTTCTATTGTTTTTCTGGATTCTATTTGATTCAATTCAACTCTAGCTTCATTATCTCCTTTCTTCTGCTAACCTTGGCCTTGATTTGTTCTTTTTCTAGTTCCTTAAGGTATAAATTTAGGGTTTTTATTTGAGATCTTTTTAATTTCTTAACTTGAATTTACTTCTATAAACTTTGTTCTCAGAAATGCTTTTCCTGCATCCCATGAAATTTGACATATTACACTTCTATTTTTATTTGTTTTGATGTAGCTTTTTGTTTCTCTTTTGGTTTCTTCTTCAAACCGTTGATTTTTTAAAACTCTCTTATTTAGTTTCCACAAATTTGTAGACCTTCCAGATTGCCTCTTCTTCATATCTAATTTTATACCATATGGGCAGAAGAAAAGGATATGATTTTATACTTAAATTTGCTAAGATTCATTTTGTGCCCTAACAACTGATCTACCCTAGAAAATGTTCCATGTGTACTTGAGAAGAACATGTATTCTGTTGTTGGTAAATGGAATATGGATCTGTTTTACATATACATAAGTCCAGTTGCTTTAGAGTGTGGCTCAATTTCAGCATTTCCTTGTTGATTTTCTGTCTGGATGACTTATCCATTGCCGACAGTGGAGATGTTGAAATTCCCTCCTCTTTTTGTGTTGTGGTCTCATTTTCCCTTTTGACCTTTTAGTATTTGCTTAATGTATTTTTATACTCTTTCGTAGGGTGCATACATACTCATGATTATTATATCTTCTTGATATGCCAACTATGTTATCATTAAATAATGACTTTTTGCTTTCATTGTCATTTTTGGCTTGAAGTCTACTTTGTCTGATGTAAGTGTGGTTATGCTCACCATATTTTCCTTTCCACTTTCCATCTCTTCACTTTGAGCCTATATACATTGTTAGAGCTAAAATGACTTTTCTTTAGGCAGAATATAGTTGGGCCTCATGTTCTTTATCCATCCAGCCTCTCTGTGCCTTTTGTTGGTGAATTTGATCCATTTCTATTAAGAGTGATTACTGATGTGTAAAGACATTGTAAAGACATGCTGTCATTTGCCTTTTGGTTGTTTTGTATCTCCTTTGTTTCTTTTTCCTTCTCTCTTTGTAAACTGGTGGTTTCCACTGCGACTTGCTCAGTCTCCTTTTCTTTATGTTTTGTGACTCTACTATAAATTTTTGCATTATGATTACCGTGTGGTTTACAAAAACATACATATAGTTATTTTTATGTATGTTTTTATGTATGTTTATCATGTTACCCTCATTTGCCTATAAGGACTCTACCCTTTAATTCCTCCCTTTTATATTTTTCATATCACAATTTACCTTTTTTATGCTGTGAATTTGTTGAGATAGTAGACATAGTTATTGTAATGTTGATTTACTAAAGCCTTTATGCTCTTTATGCTATAATTGTTTAACACTATTTTTTATCTGTACTGAAGTATTGTGTACTTCTATTTGCTTTTATGTTATTAACATCTTTTAATTTCAGCTTGAAGGACTCTTTTCAGCATTTCTTGCAAGGCATATCTAGTGGTGATGAGCTCTCTCATTTTCTGTTTGTCTGAGAAAGGCTTTCTCCTTCTCATCTGAACACTAACTTTGCTGGATAAAGTGTTCTTCACTGGCAGTTTTCATTTTTCAGACTTTGAATACGCCATTCTATGCTTTCTTGGCCTGAAGAGTTTCTGTTGAGAAATCTGTTGGTCAGCTTAAGGGTTTCCTTTGTAGGTTACTTCTTTTTTTTTCTGGCTACATTTAAAATTCTTTCTTTATCATTGATTTTTGACAGTTTCATTTTCAATGTAAATTTGAGTTCTTTTTGCATTGAGATAATAGGGTGGCCTGTTATCTTCTTGGACATATGTGTTAAATACTTTCCCCAGGTTCAGGTGGTTATCAGCTAATATTTCCCCTAGTATATTCTGTTCCCTTCTCCCTTTCTTTTCCTTTCGGCAGGCCAATTGCTCTTGTGTTTTTTCCATCATATCTGATAGCTCGCATGGGGTGTCTTTACCTTTTTAAAATCTTAGTTTTTTTCCTCCTCTTCTGAGTCGTTTCTAAATTTCTCTATTCCAGGTCACTAGTTTTTCTTTGCTCATATCTGCCTTGCTCTCTAATCCAGTCTCAGTTAGACTCATTGAATTTGCATCTCCAGAATTTCTGTGGATCTTGTTTAAAATTTCAATTTCTTTGACAAAGAACTCTTTCTCTTCCTGAATTTTATTCCTCAGTTCATTGAATTGCCTTTCTGAGTTGTCTTGTAGCTCATTGAATCTCTCTATTAAGCTATTTTGAATTTTCTATCAGTTAGGTCACAATATTTCATGCTTCTGTTTTGGTTGCTGGAGAATTACCATTTCATTCTTTGGTGCTGTCTTACAATGTTTTTTTCAGTGTTTGACACAATGTGTCTCTGCTGTGGCATTTTAAATAGAACATTCCCCCGATTTGACTTTGACTATTAGACTTCAACAGACTTGCAATTACAAATCATTTTTTTTCCAAAAGGCAGCACTACAGCTCATTTTTGGCTTCTTTTTACATGACCTGGATGTTGGGCTGCAATGGGGAGCATGGGAGAAAAAACCCCAAAAAACTGATATAGGAAAAGCTGCGGAGAGAGTAGGAAAAGATGCGGGCTTAGCCCCTTAGGCTTTATGGGTACCCATGGCCAGGTAGGGGGATCCTTTAAGGGAAGTCATAAAGTAGGAAATCAAATGGTTGCTGACAAAACAAATTTAATTACCTTTCAAACTGACTAATATCTTAGCTACCTGGAGGGTCTTTTGGACTTTTGCAAAACTGTGATTTCAGTTTCACCTCCTTTAGTTTCTTCTCATAGAATATATTACATATTTAAATTTGGTTCACCTCAGTTATCATTCTCATAGAAAAAAAAATGTGTTTACAACAGTTCCAGGGCCCCATTATTGTATTATCTGTTTGACTAAAACTCTAATGGCACTTAATGCTCCTGTCCTCTTTCCAGAAATCTTCTGTACCAATCCTCCAGCTGTCCTTAATGGGAAACACACAGGAGCATCTCTGAGAAACATTCCGTATGGAGAAGAAATATCTTATACGTGTGACCCCCACACAGACAGAGGGATGACCTTCCATCTCATTGGGGAGAGCACCATCCGCTGCACAAGTGACGGTCGAGGGAACGGGATTTGGAGCGGCCCAGCCCCTCGCTGTGAACTTTCCTGGTCTGCGGGTCAGTGCTCATTTCCCCACCCCACCCCACAATGGATCAGTGTATCTGGGCAAGAACCTCCATATTTCTGTCATGACAGTCATTTATACATCTGGACATGACTTTGTTATGAATATCGGACACAGAGGTACCTGCCAGGAGAATAACAGATGGTCCTGGAGGTGCTTCCCTGTGCCCCAATTGGTGGTATTCTGATGACTTTGCCTCCTGGAGTGAGGAAGGTAGGACGGTGAGGAGAAGAGGCAGCAGTGAGTGGAGAGAATCAGTGATGGCCAGAGTTTCTAGAGAATATTTTAAAAGCAATGAAAACAAATGTCAATGAAAATATCAGGCCATGCCATCTCTATTACTAGTTGCTTTTATACGTAGATCGTGTGCAGACCAAAATGTACATGTTGGTGGAGTAATTTACTTCAGAAATGGTGATGCTACAGAAATCATTAGAAATGCATTTGTCCTTCTTTTGTTACTTCTAAGTGTTCTGCTCAGCCCATCACTGCATTTTGTTGACCCTTCTTCTCACCTTTAGCAAAGGGACCTCAGTATGCCCTGGAGAAATGAAGTGGATGGTTGTGTTCTTGGCCTCTGTAGCTCATTCTTTTTCTCTGTATTTCTAACTTTAAATGACAGCACCTGGCCCTCAGAGGCTTCTTTGTGGCTGTGATTGCCCACGTAAGCTCCATCCTCCAGTGAGGACAGACAACACTGAATTGGTAATTTATAGATCCCACTGTCACTTCCAGCTGGTACAGTCTGCAGAGAGAGAATACACATGATCTTGTTTAAAGACTGAGTGATCTGGGTTTGCTGAGTCAGCCTTCCCACTGATCCACAGACATGTAGCGCCTTGAGACCTGCCTGCCTGGGTCTTCATGTGGCTCTAGTAGTCACAGATATTATTAAAAGTGTTGGCATGCTCATACTTTTACATTTAACTGAGTGTCTTTTCTTGCACTTAGTATGCCCATCTCCGCCCAAGATTCACAATGGACATCACACTGGAGGGGATGCATCTCCATATCTTCCTGGGACAAAAGTCAACTACGCTTGTGACCTAGGCTACCTGTTGGTGGGCAAATCCTACATTTTCTGTACACACGAAGGGACCTGGAGCCAAACTGACCAATATTGCAAAGGTATCTCTTATTCTTGCTGGGCTTTTATGTAAGACTGATGCATGAGACTAATAAGGCTGAGAGAGATCTCTTCTGAGAAGATGGTGAAATGAGTATCAGTAGAGAAGGAGAAAAGTAGAACAAACAGTGGGAAGGAAAGTTTCCCAAGGATTCCCAGCTCTACCAAATAAGCAGGAAGAACCAATGGATAGGAAGAACTAATGGAGTTTTCAGCAATATAATAGACATCAAACACTACTTTAAGATACTTTGTAAGCTTTTAACTAATAAAATACTTCAGCTCTAAAGGATTTCAGAAGGTCATAGGTGGTCCTCTTAAATACCCTTAGAAGGTCAATAAGAGGCTAGAAGCACATATTGTGAGGACAATAGAACTGAGGTCGAGAACAATTAGTTTTGGAATTACTGAACATGGATTCTCACTATTATGGAAAGCAGGAGCAATAAAATGGCATTGGTTCGGTCAAGGTAGCATGAAGTATATAAAACAAGATGGAGTCACTCATGTCAACCAACATGGCTTCTAGTCAGCCAGGACATTTTGGTTCAGGAAGGAAACTACCTAAGTCATGCTAGACACATCTACCAAGAAGACACACCTAAGATGTCTGCACAGGTGTTCAAAAACAGTCATGTTTGCAGAGCGAGATCACCCATAGATAGGCTCCTGGAGAAATTCCTTACTTGGCACCAGGGGTACCAAGACACATATCAACAGACCCAGAAGGGTGGAGTACACCACTCTCAAAGTATAACAGAGGCAGGCTCCAGGCCACTGCAGAGATGGCTGAGCTCCATACCCCAGAGTGCAGCTCCATGCCACATTGATCTCCCTTGGCATCAGTCGCCAGAGGCTCTGCCCTGCTGGACTGAAAACTCCTGTCCTGCTGCCCATCTGGCTCCAGACAGTCTTCTTTGAAAGATGCTGAAAGCTCTTTTGCCCAACGTGCTCTCTCCTGGTCATATAGACTGAGCCTCTGGGTCTTGGGCTCATTATTCCCCACTGATAGCGCCCTGTGTGTGTGTGTGTGTGTGTGTGTGTGTGTGTGTTATATTCCTCTTAGATTGTTAGAGTATGATTAGGATATTGATGTTTTTTGATGCTCTATTGTGAGTGAACCTGCATTCAATAAAAGATGAGTGAATAGCATAGTTACTGTGTGTGATTCTTGTCTCTTCTTTGGGGCTGGGCTGCTCTTCAGGCAGCTGGCCAAGCAGTTGCCCAGCTGACTTACAGGAAAGACTGTATTGCAAACATACGCTTACAACAACTATAATCTTCAAGATCAAAAATAGCATGTTTGTTTCCATTTAGAAAAAAAGCCTTTGAGCAAGTCCCAGGAATTTTTTCCATTATTTCTGCCTATGTTTGCAAAAATAACATATGACTTTAAAATCTTTGTTGTCGATATTCTAAAAAGCTGAAAAATGGAGAATTAAAAGTCATATTCTATGACTAGCATGGTACTGAGATCTTTTCAAAACTGAGCTGTGTTAGTCTCCAGGAGAATCTGATGAGGTGGGATTAGTGTGCTTCCTTTCTTACTGAGGAGCAAGTTGAAGTGAAGAGAGATCCAGTCCTTGAGCCATAGCTCGGGAGTGGTGGTGTTACGATTGGAGCCTGTGCTTCAGAACACTGCACTCTTGTACTGTCTCCTTTTAAATGTGGCTCTTTTGACTTTGCAAAACTATAAGTAAGTGATTTTTGCTATGCTTGTTTCTTGTCTATTCTCTTCATTGTTAAAATACTATGTAAGGGTAGGGATGAGATATATCTGATACTAAGGACTAGTTAGTCTTGTGGCTGCTGCGGTTACAGGAATTCACAGCCTTCCCTGACCTGAAAGTCTCAGAAACCCTCCGTGGCCTCCTCCCCCTCAGTTTTAGAGATAGAGAAGACATAGCCCACAAAAATGAAAGTAAGTGACTCTGTTGTGATTATTTGCCAGAATGGATGCCACTTATGGAATCCCTGTGGCTTTGCCGAAACCAAAAGCTCACCACCGCTTGCTTTAGTTACATGAGAAATACGAAGATTCAGATGATAGTTCAATGATTAATTACTTAGATTAAGACTCTCGTGTAGTTGTCCTGAAAATTAAAAAAAAGAAAAAAAAGTATTCTGTTCTGGCAGCAGCTTTCTATTTGTTTAAGTAAAGCTAATTTTGTCTAAATAGCTGTTCTCTCAGAATAACTATTCGTTCTGAGTATGAATGGTTTATTCATTCTCCATTTTTAGCATTAACACAATCAACCAGGAACCTTGTTAAAAAAGACAGTTTCTTAACCTGCCTTCCAAGGAACTCTGATTCTGACATTTTGAGTTGGGGTCCAGAGGTCTATTTTTAACACACCCAATATAATATTCTGATGTAGAAAGACCACAGACCATACTGTGAGAAATAGTACTTTACCTGGTTGGGCTTTATAAAGATAAAAAATCAGACTCTTAACAACTGAAAAAGCAAGTCTTGCTTAAATTGAAGAAGGTGTTGGCTGGACAGAGAAAGCAAAATAAAGGAGCTAAATGAAATAAAGTAAATTAAGTAGAAAATTGATATTATAAATTCAGAATCATGATATACAAACTTCTTTATTCTATGTAGAGAAATGAGCCAGAAACAGCCATTTAGTCAGGAGGCAAAAGAGGAGTAGTTGTTGTATTTCTAAGGAGAGTGAATGTGGTATGTCTGTTTCCTTTTGGTCTGACCCAAGTGGATCCAGGCTAGAATATGGGAAGACTAACTCCTAATCCTTCCACAACTTTCCAGTTGCAGAGGTCTCCATAATTAAAAGTGCCTTACAGTACATTCCATATTCAATTATTTTACCTAATAAAATAAAGTCAGAGAATTTTAAATCATGAGACACTGGGGGAGGGACTGTAGTTTTTCTTGATTGAAAACATGACCTATGTTCGCTGAAGGGAAAGCAGGTATGGGGTCGCTGAGTTTTTCATTACGGCAGTTACTACCAACACTTATAAATAAAATATCAATTTCCTTCTGATTTTTCGAATTTCAGAGGTAAAATGTAGCCTCCCACAGTTTATGAGTGGAATCCGGAAGGAGCTGGAAATGAGCAAAGAATTTCAATACGGAGAAAATGTAACCTTGGAGTGTAAAGATGGGTATACTCTGGAAGGCAGTCCCTGGAGCCAGTGCCAGGCGAATAACAGATGGGACCCTCCTCTGGCCACGTGTACACCTCGTAAGTACAAGAGCAAGTGCAAGGATTGTAGGTCCTTCTCAGCCGTGGTACTGTTCATTCATTCATTCATTCACAGTCTCAGCAAATGAGCTGTGGTGCTTCCAGCACGCGGTAGAACTAAGGGGTGCACTAGAAGCCCCTGATTCTTCTCCAGAAGCCCTTAGCAAGGAGAGTCAGACAGGCCTTGTTCTCCTCACACGTTTCAACCTGTTCATCTCTCCTGAGGGACCCCTCTGAACCTTTTCCGTGTATGTCACACTATTGTTGCATGCATCTCTCAGTAATGATTTGTCTATAGCCCAGGGACCTTGAAAGTCGGGAGCCCGTCTGTGATAGAGCCAGTCTTCAAGAATATTTTCAGCATGAGTCAGAAAGCACCTTCCAAGTTGCTGAAACCAGCTTTCCCGTCTCCCTCGCTGCTGTGGGCTGCAAGCTTGCAAACGGGTACAGCTAGGTCCCGCAGATATAGAAATTTTGGGTCATTGAGCTCTGGAGAAGAGTAGCCCTCTGCTGGCAGCTAGAGGGTAATGCAAGATAGAAAATCCTAAACCTTGAACTTTTACACATCCACGAGCTGATGAGCAAAATTAGCAATGAATAATTTATCTTAATCTAAGTTAGTGGTAGGCTTCCCCCACCCATTCTTATGATTCTTATTTATCATAGTGAATACCAAGATTGTTCAAGATTTTTTTTAACAGCTAACCCCTGAAACATGCTAGCTAAACTTACTTACAAATATTTCCAGATTATAAACTCATCACTCTCTTAATATCCAATTATATTCACTTTGGCAAGAAGCTCCCTGACCACCTGACTTCATGAATGCCGGTAGAGGCTTCTGGAGATGCGAACCTTCAGTGGATGTGAAAGACAGAACATTCACGTGATGGAGGGAACACCCTGCCAGATATTAAAACAAAACAGAAAGCCACAATATAAAAATCCCTTTACACTGGCACAAAATAAACATTTTCATAAGTAGAACAAAAGAGATATTAATAAAATAAAGGTTATTATAAATAAAAAGTATCTTATAGATGAAATAAAATATTTGAGATATCATCAATCCACAGGGAAGGTAAAGATGATCCAATAACACAGGAAGCACTGCAACAAATTTAGACCCTTCCTTTTTATTTTACAAAAAGTAACAGATGTAATAAAGAGTTAAAGTTTTAAAAGTCAGCTTAGAAAAGCTAACATAAAAAATTAAAGAATATTTATGAAACTACTAGAAGAAAGCCTACTATTTAAACTTTTTGATATGAAAGAAAATATAATGGGTCAACAATTTAACTTGCAGCTAATGTATGTATTTTGGAAAGTAAATAAGAAAGCAGTAGACAGATGAGAAATATGTGAAAAATGTAATGAAGAGTTAATAGTGTTATCATACAAGAAGCAGTAGTGGTAGTTGTAGTGGTAGTAATGGTTGTAAAAATTAACCTATATTGAGTGCTTAATTCAACTGTTCAAAGATTAGATAGATAATGAGATTCTGTAAATATATAAAAACCTAGATGCACAGGAGCATGTACCAGAACAGAATATACCAACGCACTTAACGGCAGTAGTAATATGTGGTGTTTTCCTTTTGCTCTATTTTATACCTTTTAGTTGTAGTTCTATTAATTTTTGTTATAAATATTAAGTTAAAAAGAAGAAAACAGATAGCTGAGTACACAAGATAAAATGAGATTGAGAAAAACCAGTGGTTTTTTTTTTTATGTGAGAACAAAATTAGACTGTGTAATGATAAAAATTAGGATGAACTGTCACTGGCTGAGGGCTCCTGCTGAGTGCTAGATTGATGCATTTGTGACTTTTCTCTTCTTTTTAGGCTCACATGACACTCTCATTGTTGGTAAGTTTTATAAAGAGTTTACTGAGAGACTCTAGCATCTGTAACAGTAAGTATAGCAAGTACCCAGTTCTAATGAATGAAATGGAAAAGATCAAAATATCTTACACTGCAATTTCATTTAGAAAAGAAATAGTGATCAACTCAGGCCATGGTGTGGCAAAACTGGTTTCCTCATATGCATATAAGAGAGAGTCTTCTCTACGAAAGCTTCTATATTATCTGTGAACCATGACAAACAGCCAGTAATTCATATCATTTTATTGTAGATGGAGAATACAACCTGGGTGTATTCTTCAGGATGATAGTTGCGCACACTTGCACAAATTGGAAACCACAAAGAGCAATTTTCTAAGCCCATGTCTGTGATCTGCATATATAGAGCAATAGTGCACAGTAGAGTTGGCTTCAAGGGAATTGGCAGAGTCTGTTGTATTGGCAACGTCGTGTTGAACACAAGAGACACATGCAGGGCCCTGGAGAGCTGGAGCCCAGGAGCACCAGTACGGTTCTCATCTGCTTGTTGAAAGGCTGTTGTTGGACTAAAGGTTACAAAACTGCTCTGCTCACTGCTTACCTATAACCCTGTAGTAGTAACACTAATGTCCTTGGTTAAACAAGAAGCAGAGGGGAAATCTTAAAGGTAAGCCTGTGTCAATGTTTTTTAAACCAGAATTTAGTTGCATTTTTTTAAAAAATCATTGGCGACCTCTACAGAGACTAGATACCATGATTGAGTTTAAAACCTATGGGTTATATTTTCTGTGCATTTAATTACCTTGTTTTACCGCCTAGGCATGTCCCTTGGTGTGACCTTCGTTATTGTATCCACCATTGTTTCCTGTTGGATGATTCCAAAGTGCAAAAAAGGGTCAGTATAGCCATATTCTCCTAGAAAATGTTTCTTACTGTACTTGCCTCCTCTTGGAAGCCAAAAAGAAGTAAATGAAAACCTCAAATAAAAGTACCACATAAACAGATGTAGTAATTCTTATAAAAAGCCTTTGGAGCACATTATGCATAGAGAAGTATTCACTCTGATATATACCATATTAAGAACATTTCTTTTAAAAGGTTAGAATTTTAAGAGTGAGTGACTGAAGTTTTACATAAGGGAAAACGGGCAGAAGGAATTTTTCCAAAAATGTTAATTAGGCAGTTGGTACCCCAGTTTTGCTGAGACATTTCAGACTTCCGCCTCTACACACAGACCGTATCAGGGCACTAAAAGTTAGATAGTGTGCCCCACTGGTACACATATCTCAGGCTGCCAGTGTGGAAGAATTGAGGTTTTGCATTGGTTATTTAAAAAAAAATAAATGTTTTATTAAAATCATTTATTTTTTAGCCCTAACTGGTGTGGCTCAGTTGGTTGGGTATTGTTCCCCAAAGCGAAAGTTTGCCAGTTCGATTCCCGCATTGTGGGTTCGGTCCCCACTTGGAGCACATGCAAAAGGCAGCGAGCGGATCAATGTTTCTCTCTTGCATCGTTTCTCTCCCTTTCTTTCTCCCTCCCTTCCCTCTCTCTAAAAATAAATAAATAATCTCTTTTCTAAAAACCATTTACCTTTTAAATTTTAAAAGAAACCTTGGAAGGATGAAGATCTAAATAAAGATATATTCTTGATTGGGAAGAGAACACACACAGCTTTTGTATTAGCTGGTTTAAATATAAGAAAATCAGTGAGGTCAAAGTCAAAGAAATCAATGTTATAAGCTTAATTAACAAATTATACCAATGCAAATCAGTTTATAAATTTAGGTAAATAGTTTTCTAAACAAATGCAGTCTCCTAAAGAAGTATTATAGAAATTGAAGTTCAACAAACATTTCAAAAAGGCTGCTGATGTATATTTTTAAAAGTAGAATACCATAGCTGAACTTTTTGCAACTAATCTAGTCACTTCCTTCCTCTCCCTTATTTGAATTTCCTACCTCTATTAATTAATCTCTTATGTTCTTGGTCCTCAACACACTCTTCACCATCTCCCTTCCCTGATGATGTTCTCCCTGTGAGCAGGGACCACCTATAGGCACTCAAAATAATTTCATTTAATAATTTTTGACCTCTGCTTTTGCAGTAGTCAACATTAGTCATGAGAATAACAACTACCATAGCTTCACCATTTATTGTCTTCTTTGGTCCTCAAGGCAACTCTAAGAGGGAGATAAGGACAAAAATGTTGTTGTACCAAAGCACAGAAGACAGATTCAGAGAAACTCAGTGACTTGCTTAAAACCATACCGGTAGGAAGTTGTTAAGAGTTAGGGCTTTAGTTCCAGTTATCTGACTCAGAATCCTGAATCCCTTCAGCTGTTCCATTGATAATTTCAGTTGCTCATTTCTTAATCTATATTACTGAAAATTCAGTATCCAGAACGACATATACTATAAAGCTAACATATTTACTTTTATTTACTTTTTATATATACATTCCTTACCCACCTCTATGTAATTGCATTTGTTTTAGCTACTTGGTATATTGAGCCAGTATCATTCTGTGGAACAGCATGCAATCTCTCATGACCACTACCAACCAACTGGATAGCCATTCATTCAACATTACTTGCAATGAGGAAAATAACCCACAGATCTGGCCACCCGCTGCCACGAAAGCCAAACCCATGAAGCGGGTTCTAGTTGAGAAGGAAAGGGGTTTCTTTAGAGGTCAACAACCTGAGAAGATGACAGGCTCGTGCCTCCAAAACCATCTTAGCATCTCAGGCATCCTGGCTAGGTCATATGGGGGAGCCACGGGAAGAGGGGGACAAAGGAATTTGGTGACATGAAGTTTCTCAGCTCTGCTCTCTGATGGTTTCAACATTATCTGCTGTGTGTGTTCTCATGTAGTTCTCTTGCTCTATGTTCAGTTCTACTGCAGATGTTCATAAACAGGACGTGCAGGCAATGCTTCTGCTGGTTCTGACATGAATTGCTGATGCTTGTCCAGTTCCTGTGGTCAGGGCTGTTCCTTGGTCAGGCAGGAACTGTAGCTGCTGATGTCTACAAAAGACTCATAAGGAAAATTTTAATACATGATTTTTCTAAGAGTCTGTTAATACCACCTATTCTATAATTACTACTTGATTAGTATTTTTTTTCAATCACTGCTGCAATTCCCCACTGTTACATGCTCACTAAGGTAGTATTCTCTCACACCCCATAAATATATCATTCATCATCCAACTTTCAAGCCATCACGGATCTCACCACATAATCACTGCCCCTTGGAAGCTCATGCC